ATTCCATGGCCCTAAGAAAACCTCATGGAGCATTGTTGAGTCAAGAGGCAGCTCAGGTGCGGTAATGGCTCGGGCACGGGTGCGCTTCGTTGCGCGCGTCCGTAGAAACTAGGTCACGCCGCAGCCATCGCATGCGGCGGATCAGCCCGCGATCTTTGACAAACATCGTGGTTGTCAGCGGGGCATACGAATTGCGCTCAGTCCACGACAGTGAGCCAAAGAGAAGATAACACGGACAAATGCAAATCATTCGCTCCACCGACACTTGGTGGTTCTGTAGCGTCGTCTCGAGACCTCAGAGGGGTGCGCCGCGCGCGAAGTGGGCGGGGTGACCTACTTTCAACGGACGCGCGCAACGGACGTTTTCCCTCGGACACCGGTCCCGCCGTCAGTACTCCCACAAAAGGACGTACTTAGCCGTTCTCTAGAGAGGATGATGTCGTTAATCTAGCCAGTCGGTATACACTAATAGCTAATGGCTGCAAAAGAAACCTCGTCCAGGTACTCCTAAAAGCACACTATTCTATTGTAAGCTCCCGAACACGATCACTATGGAAATTTGATGACTTTACCATATGTATATTATATATCGGTCTAGTGAACTGACTTTTTCTACTGAAAAAATATCGTTGCTAAACAACCACTCGTCGTGGCAATTCATCTACTTTCAAAGGGTATCGAAGCGACACTTCATTGCCCCTATTTGGAACAATATTTCAGCTTTCATGGCGGTCCTTCATATACGGTTGATTTATTGGCTTTGCGAAATGAGCCTCATGTCCGACAGGCTCCAAGATGAGCTCGGCTCACAACAAGTCGTTGGATATGTTTCCCTTTAGAAGGACAGAAAGACTACGGAACTCCTGGAACTATGTTTCCCTTTAGAAGGACAGAAAGACTACGGAACTCCTGGAACTATTTGTTTTTGGGAACAATTATCGGCAAGTTCCCCAGTGGAATCTGAAGGCTGTTGATGTTCGTCATGAAAACTAATTCAGTGAAACAATTGCTTAAAATTTTGTTTATCGCTTTCTTCATACCAGTGATTTCCGATGGTATGGGACATCATGCACTTGAGACAATCGTCGGAGTATTACACTACCTTTTGTCGCTGACTGTTAATCAGTAGAAGAAACCGCGTTCCACATAGCTATTTTCGTTCAAAAACCGCCGCTAGCCGACGTTTAATAGGTTTCTCTTCGCCAGGAAGATCTTTGACGTACTGTTACCACTCCACGATTTGGGCTATCCTGAATTACGACCGGTCACCCAATTGTGTTAAGTATAGTTTCACCAAAATATCAAAGTTGTTCTCAGTCCTGCTGAACTTTTAAATGCGCCTCTATGTATATTCATTATTAATCGAAACTGCAGTAATCCGTATCGTTTACGTCCCGACTTTCGGTTGCGCCATGCTCTCGCATCCCATTCAGAGTCACAAAAAGTACGAAACAGACACAGATCCACAGATCTGCTCCACGATTTTACTTGAACATGTACAGTGTAGCGGAAGAAGGTTAGCGCCAGGTTGGCCTCAACCTCTTGCGAGACCTGACGGTCAAATCCCGTCGAGCTACTCCCGTAGACTAAGAAATCGATCTTGGATTTTGAAAGCTCCCAAAAAAGCTAAGTTGAAACCCGAAAAGCTAGCATTCATACACCTTTAAAGAGTCCGAACGGAAGACAAATGTATGGCACACTCTAAATCAAGATAGATACTGATACTGACAACAAAGAGATCATCCCATTCACGAGTATTTACTACTGATCTCGTCTAGAAAGTGTTCATCTACTTACATTTCTGTCACCGTTATGATCAAGAGGATCACTAAATTAATCTGGTTCCTATTTTAGATCCGATTACACATTATATTGGACTATACTTTTGTTTTTCAACTTTATAGTCCTTGACTGTTGCCCTACAGGTGGCCGCCATGACCGTTGTTATGTTATTGCTCCAAGATGGAAGGTCAAAATACGACCCTCATTAGCGATGAATTGTCACCATGTTGTGTCTCCATGCGCCAGGATAACTGGTTATTTCGAAATGGTTTATCATCTCTTTACATGTGATCTGTGCCTTCCTCTTAAGATGTCAGTATAATTGGCCACGTGCTTGGCATACTCCTAAAAAAATCGCTCACCGAAAAACCCTCTTGTTTCCCATTTTATTGGTTTTTCATTCTTTTTTGTGGTTGTCTGTCCTCTCTTGTTTATTTCCGCTGAGTTTTAATGCCTTCCAAGTATCTTTCACGAGTTCATGGTGTCTCCCAGAAAGGGTCTGCAAGTAGCGCGAGAACTGGAATACTGTCTTGAGATGGTTTGCCCCCCGAACTTCACCTTGCTATCCTTCCGGTTCAACCTATGATCACTTGATTCCCTGGAAAGTGCTCTGCTAGACAATTAGGCTTCCACGGAACCCTTCATAGGCAAGTTTATTCGTGTTTATAGTGTTTGTTTATTTATTCAACTGACTTTTTGAGTTTCTGTCTCAGTGTACTCTAGAGATGACCTTTATTTCCTTTCTATACTACACTATACCCACGTGTATGGATGCCGGATGAAAAATATATTATTGAGCATTGCGAAACTGGTTTTCTGGTATACGCCATGCATCCCTTTTCTTGTCATAACTGCGGTTCTTTTGAATCTTTACTGTCTATACGTACATGAAAAAGATCGTTGATATATTAAGCAATTGAACATTTATCAGTTATGGCTAACATGCCTCTCTTCAGTGAACATTATTTTGGCTCTCTACCACTGATTCTTGATAAATAACTGCTTTTGGTCTCCGAAGTGGATTCGCTTATCTGATGGGAGCAGTCATAGGGTGTAAAGTTGCCTCTATGGGAGGCTATTTTGTATGAATATGTACCCAACTGCCCCTGTATTGAGTCCTCTGACTAAGGAAAGATATTCCCTATGCACTTCATAATAACTCCTCTTATAATTGGCTAATTGCCAAGCGAACAAAATAGTTAGAATCAGCCTAAAGAGTTCTGTCTAAATCCATTTAAATTATTATTGGAACTCCAATTTGGATTTGCTCTTGATCTTCAAATCTTTCAAGTATGGGTGTGGGATAGATATCGAAATCGAGGGACTGGCAAAAAAATTAGACACTACGGCCAATGAGGAGGGCCCAGATAGGGTCGCCCAGCGTCGCCAAATCGAGGGACCGACGGCATCGACAGGGTAGATCAAAAAGGGCTATCGTAGTCATACATAGGGAAAGTAAAGATCAAGAGCAAAATTTCTTCAAAGTTTTCTATACAAAGCGGGTATGGGTCTACAGAGCTCCTGCAATTGTTTCCATGCATAGTGATCGTTTTCGAATTGATACAATTTTTTGGGATTTTTGGACTATTTTTTGGAAGTGAACGGTCTAGTATGCTCATTTGAGAACATTACATAAACATATATGAACCTTGTGCGAGCTTTTTCCGATTGGCCGTTCCTTTTTGTTTTCGACAGACTGGTAACTTTTTTGAGCCATGAAAATCAAAAGTGTAGGTCAGATTAATGATTGGCTTCCCTCCGAATTCCAATGAAAGACAAAAACGTGGCGCATTCTACAGGGGTCGGTGATAGATGGCTAATCTGCCAGGTATCAATTGTTGTTCTCTCTGGCCTTCACCTTCTCGTCTAAGTCTTTCACTATATGTGTCTCTTGCCTTTTTTTCAATGCTAATAAATCAGGATTTCATAAGCATATGACAGGTTTCAGAGTCATGATAATCAAGAAGCAGTTCGATGAATCAGAAGAAATTGTGGTTTCCAAGAAAGAGGTTAGCGTCCCTCACTAGCCAACTTTTCAGTTTCTGACTCCGCTCATATCCAATTTGCTTAAAAAACAGCTTTCGAAGCTCTTTCTGTTCTGGGTAATGCCTGCTAACTTTTCTATGCCTTACTGTAGTAGTTCTTGCTGTTTCGCGAGGCTCTCTTGGAATTTTTTTGTTTTTGTCACAGTACTTAATAGTAAAACATCAATGAGATTTCGTCGTGTTATATACCATACAACCTGACGATTCAATTTTTAACCTTGAACTCCATTGCAACAGAAGGTCAGAGATGATATTCGTCAGAAACCGGTACAAGCATTGGTCGACGGGCAAGAAAAGAAGTAGGGGCACTATTCACATTTTGTGATATCATTTTCCGAGCATTAGGCTGAATTTCTGGTCCCCATCTGTCAAATGCGATACCTTCATTTAGCGGGTACTTCATCGAGAAAATTTACACAGGGATCCTTCCCCTGGAGAAATTCGAAAAAATCCGACCCAAATATAGAGAGGTTTACATATCCTTGTTATCTGAGAACATCCTTTGACTATTGTGATTTTACCGCCTATTAATTGTGCGGTCGGTTTAATCGTATCCCACTCATGACGGTCAAATGCTCATATTTTCTGGTAGTGATTTAGTTAGAGCTGGTTAGAGAGCTTGAAACGCCTGAAGTAAACATCAACTTTAAGCTCATTCTTCCGTAGCAAAGCTAAACGAGTGAGTGAGCTGATAGACGGCTAAACGTCTATCACCTCATTCTTTTCCTTTCCCTTGAAGTGATCTCCGACTTCTGGGCATACGGAGACTTCAAACTTTGAAGATCTCTGTCTCAAAGAAATTATGTCATTGATAGCTGGAATGTAGCCAACGTAGTCGCGCCATTTCTCTCGTTGGTCCTATCCTTTTCCATGGTTGCCCTATCTGTTCCTACAGTTTGCTAGCATTGCAAACAAGATACGAAGTGCTCGAAATCAACCATTGAAACCTAAAAAGGTGTGTGACCCTTAGGTGTGTGACTGAACTGCGGAAGACTTTGCTCATAGGCGGAAAAAGTTGAACACGGAAGCATTTCTGCTAATTGTCCGGTATTTCCTGTCCCGTAGGCTTCTTCCTGCTGATTCCTGCTACCAAATAGTACATGGCTCAAATCTTAAGAAGAACCTATGTTAGATAGTGAAATCATAACGAAATAATATGATGTCCTTTTTCAGTTACGTTCGTTTGTACTGAATTGCCTGGACAAGGTGTCCTGTTCGCCCGGACATGCTCAGCAACTGGCCGACATTCTGATCTGCTCTGATTATCGTGGACATTACTCACATGGGCTTAATCGACTCCACATCTATGTGAACGACTTGGCAGAGAAGTCAACACTAAGTGATGGTGGGTATTCCGTGTCGTTCTCAATGAAAAAAAGAAGTAAGGAAAAGCGGAATGGAAAATTCCAAAAGGCAGCTGGCAGAAAAGCTAACTGAAGTAGGACTTGCTCTAAACATATGCCCAGCCTCACTGAAACCCCTCTGAAATATGCTCATACTCTCTAAATAACTACTATACGAATTCAGGCAGCCCCGCCCACTACTGTTTCGGGTAGCCCCGCCCACTACTATCAGACTGTCCCTTTTGACCATTTTTCAAACAACAATCATAGTAGATGGGTTACGATAATCATGTGATCACGAAATTTTACTTTTTGTGATTTCTTGACAGCTATAGTGCCCGCACTCATACTTGAAAGAACGTAAATGTTTCACAACCATCTTTTACTACTTAATATCATTTCTTACCATTCACGATATGCATCAGATGTGTACTGACAGGCGGTAATAAATTATCACATTACCCGGAACCAATTGGAATGGAAACAACGGGTAAAGGCTTATGAAGTCTATGAGTAGCGGCGGTAAATTGTCGACAGAAAATAGTACCCATTGTGTGAGCTCCACCCACATGAAGTTGGTGTTTTAGGAGAACCACTCATTATCAAGCAGAAAGGAGCCACAGCATGGGTAGACGGATGCAATTTACTTGGACCTGTGGTCGGCAATTTCTGCATGAAACTTGCCATACAAAAGGTACTCCTACAATCCGATCCATAATAAACTGTTTTAGGGATTTTGTCATACCAGATATTTACTGAAGCATTCATTCACAGGCAAGAACGCATGGTATCGGGTGGGTGGTGGCGAAGAGCTCGAACCATTTCGGAATCGCTGGATGGTATGCAGAAAGCGCTCTTCAGCAAGGACTAGTGGTGAGTATGGATAAATCCAAGGGACTTTCAGTTAGTTGGCTCCAACGTTAGTGAAGATCACTGCTGATCGCTTATGTATGGGGCCGTATTCAGGCGAAAAGCTCTCAAAACCATGCTTTACAGTAACTATATGGAGCCAATGCTCTTGGAATCCCTGCCGATAGCTCCTTTGGAGTTGGCCTATACCATAGTACTAACCAAAGAAGAGTACCATTTCCAGGGAATGGCGTTCACAAACACTTCGCCATGTGTCTTTCCGACAAACTCAGCTGAAAAAAGTCTCGGATCGAACCCGATTTGCCTGGCCGCACCAGCAGCCAATGGTGACTCGTTTTTCCTCGACATGGCCTCTACAACAGTCGCCTACGGAAAGGTATGTCCTTTTTGGTTTCACCGTTGAGAGAGACTGCCAGCTGTATTTTGTTGTGGTCTTGTTCTGAACTCCATGAGACGATTGCATCGCGACCGCACGCAGCCCAGCATAGGTGTCTGGCAGAACACTGGAATAATTCCAAAAACCAAGCCCTATTTTGTTTTTGTTTTGGAATATACGTATTTTTATTGATTTTATAGATAGAAGTGGTAGACCGTCGCGGTGGCAAGCGAATTCCCCGTGCATGGGGGGCAGATGCTGACGGTATCGAAACTCAGGATCCAAAAGAAGTTCTCAATGGTGGAGGATTACAGCCGTTGGGAGGATCGGAAGCTACTGGTACGTACTCAGAGTAACTTTAGTAACTACCCTTCCCGGGTGGGCATACTGCGCCCATCCGGGGCGCAAAGTTCCACTTGATTTTAGTTTACGACTGCTCATTGATCCCTAGTTATGGGTCTGATCATAACCGACCGTGTTTTCAGGTGGTTACAAAGGCACTGGTCTATGCATGATGGTAGAAATACTATGTGGTATTATGGCAGGATCATCATTTGGGAAATCGATCCGAAAGTGGCAAACAACTGACGAATCAGCCAATTTGGTACGGTAAAACTCGGTCGTGTCTACTGACCTGCCTAAACGGTTCCCCATACAGGGACAATGTTTCGTCGCAATTGATCCTGAATGCTTTGCACCAGGATTCGGTGAACGACTTAGCTGTTTTCTCGATGAAACCAGGGATTTGAAACCGGTATGATCTAGATTGGATTGGTAATATAAGGCATGATGTTAATAGCGGCCAACATGTGTGCAGTACATGGCTCGCTGTTGCGTGCGGTTGCAAAGCGGCAAGACCTGTTTCATGTGTGGAACCATTCCAAACGCCGCGCGTGCGTACGCATCAGCGATTCGTGAACTGCATTGATGAATGGTTGTCTCATGCTTAGCTGAACGTATTCCACGATAGAAAACATTCAATTGACGACTCAATTTCCAGGTGGATCCTTCCTATCCCGTACAAGTTGCTGGCGATCCTGAACGAGCTCATATGTATATGTGCGATGAACTCGATGGAATTGTCTACAAGAAAAGTCAACTCGAACATCTGGTATGTTCTATTTCATTTTCACCCCGAGCGACTTTGAACCGATAGGAAATACACGGTTTAAAAATCACCTGAAATTTTTTTTTAGAACAAATTGGCAAACGATCTCGGAGTGCATATGTTTAAAGCGAAAAAGATGACCTCGTCTCTGGAAACAGATGGTCAAAGCAGGATTGAGCTGGAAGTCTGAATACTCGTTAATCTGGAGAGACTCACTATTCATGAACTGCTGCTTACAACAATAACATAAAGTAAAAAAAAATTAAAAAAGAAAATAAAAATATCGACTACCTGTTTCTTCCTATTACGGTATTTGTGAAGATTGTTGTATCATTATTTATTATTTTTTCAACGTTTGAAACAAAGAGCTTTGCCTATACAAGCACTAGTGCTACCCCATTGATTTGAGCTCCAAATACGACTCCCTCTCCATCCTATAGGGTAGTTCGCGGATTATTCGGTCGAGCCGAGCGAAGTCCATTCAGGTGACCTTGAACTGGACTGAATGTATTACAGTACAATCCGCTTATATGATGTAGGAATTGATTTGAATACAAGGAAGGTCCCTCTCGAACCTAATTCACAGTTTTGAGTGACCTTACACTCACCTAGGCGCGAATGGATATCGATTTTACGCGCGTCGGCACCTATATCGAGACGTATACTCTGTTGAGGCCAGTTGAAGCTTTGCCTTTGTATCCAATCAGCTCATTAAGACCACAGATGAAGGCGGAATCTCTTGAGAACCATCGATCCTCTTTATCCTTATTTTCTCCCCAGTTTGAGAACATTGCCCTCCTACATCCTACCTTCCTCTCATTTCCGATGCAACACGATGATTAAACGAAGGGAGTGTATTCTTAGCCAGAATAACTGTAACCATGTGGCATCAGTACACCTCGAACTACGGTATTCTGTCCTTTCTCCCACTCCTTGAAGTTATCCGACGAGCCCACAGTCAAATGGCTGATGCCACATCTGAGAGCTCAAAGGAATATTATAGTTGCCTCTACACTTTTCCCTCTCTTCGACTATTCTCGAAAGCAAGGGGAATGTGGGCATGTGGGAGATATGACCCATAAACGACCTATAAATCTAACCATTAAATATGAACTTTCTTATCAATAAAATAGCAAAGTAAGACTCTCAAAGAGCATTTTTCACGGCACACCTGACCCAGATCAAACTTCCCTGCCCACAAATCGATTTGAATAATTTTTAAGAGGAACTCCGATTTTAAAGTGACTTTTCTGTGAGTGTATGGGTAGGCCCTGATCTTTAATACCTTGCACTTTGAGGCATTTGATTTCCGATTGTCATCGGGGGATTGGTACATGAACTTGTCTGGTTTATTTGCATAAATCGAGATTAACATTGGCATACAATCGCTTTGATTACCAGTTCGATAGCACTCTCATTCGTATTCTTTTTACCATGTACACCGAACAGATTGTACGTTCCTTTGCCTACGTGGGTTAAGAATGTTGCATGGTACGCATTGACACTGAACGTTTACCCTAGCCCTAAGAACACCGGGTACGTTAAATCCGCTTTTATGGTAACGTAAATGAGCCCAGGATCAAATTTGCCCACTTCGTGGACCCGGGATAGCGACCGAAGCCCCAATTTGAACAGACCCCCACATCCAACTGAGAAGAGAGTTCCCCAGATTGAATAGCTACCCTACCACCAGAAGTTATTAGAATCCCATCCAGTTCTGTCTCCTCCCAAACTTGTAAATGTCACGGGAAATGACCTCATTTTCCGAGTTTTTCCATTGACGTCGAAGACCTTGGCCGCTACTACTGCACACCAACAAACCGCCTACAAATTAGGAACAAGTTTGGCCAACATAGGACTTCTGTGAACAGTCCTTTCCAGCAATGAAAGACGAGAAAGATAGGGCACAAAATTTATTGCAAAACGTTAGAAAATAAAAGCGAATATATATTTGGTTGACCACGAAGGCCAAAGACAAAGTAAAACAAGCTTCTCGAGAAATACTAGTTAGTAACAATTCTTCTATACCACTGTAAACACGAAGTCACATAAAAATGACCCTTAATCCAGTATTTTCCAAGAAAAAAAAAATGTTACCTACTGTATAGCAATGATGAAAGAAAGAAACAAACTCATACATTCTTCAAATGAACCAACGAACGAACGATATTGAGGCAGAGAAAGCACTAACGAGTGATGAACACACACAAAAGCAACACTTGACTTCACTTTTAATAATAACACAATGAAATTCCTGGAAATTGAAAGTACTCAAATGAACAAGTGTGGACGAAAGGAACCATATCTGATATGAGAGCGAAGAAAAGTGTCTATTAAGTAATTACTTCGTCTCACCAAAAGAAAATTAATGAAAAATACAAAACAAAACCGATAGAAAACACATACCCTTGACCAGTAAAATACTGTCAAATGAAAACATAGACGGCTATTGATAGCTACCTTATCGTACGAGACTCACAAGAAGTGATGGTGATGATGACATACAAGAAAAACAAAAAAAGACATTTTTTAAGATCGTTGTAAGCTACGTTGAAGAAATGACGACTAAAAAAGCAAATCACGAAAGCAAATCACAAGCAGCCAATATACTACCACACGTACATAAAGTAAGATTAATTGATAGAGCAACATAAACCGGCCACCAAAAGACTGATCACTGTTCTCTAAACACGTAATGTTTCGCTTAGATTAATTGCTCGCAAGTTGGGCATAGAACACGCGGACATGTAGCACTTTGACAACAACAAAAGCGAAATATCCTAGAAATAACACAAAAATGACAGATTGACTATTCTTACTGTAGAGCTCTATATGGTAAGATACGCACTCATAAATCATCGTCATCAAGCAGATCGTCCTCATCATAAATATCATCCTCATCGCTGAAGTAAACTTTGTTTCCTATGAGACCGGAACCGGAAAGCGCTGCTCCCATTGGACGTTTTGCTGATGGTCCTCCCCTGAAAGAACAGAAATAGATTGGCAGCTATCCGGTGTAACCGTTTGTGTATGAAAAAAAGAACGGAATGCATATGACGCGTTGGTGGGACAAGCGTCTGGTAACTCTTGCGTCACTGTTTTTAAAACTGACGTCGATTTTGTACTGTTTGACTGACGTAATCCTATCCAAGCCTTCTATTGCAATACCCAACAATACTTATTCAAATTCCTCTCTGCTCCAATGAGGTTATACCAGCGTAGAGAAGAGTTTCAGTATGAAATTCTGCTGATTGCCCCATTGCCAATAGTACTGAGGGGTTTCCATCTCGTTATTAAAAATAAATCATTATCCGCGACCAACTCATACAAGTGCCCGAGCACACCTTAGGGTTCGTGCACGCGACGCACCAAGGAGAATGTCAACATGGAAGAAACTACGAATTCAATGTACAAAAGTGATTAAACCCACATAGAAGATGGTGCTGCACGTTTTCTTGGAGGGCGATTTCGCTTCGGTTCAGTCCTGTGGCGCATAGCACAGCGGAACTTTCGCACAATTGGATACATCATCTCTATCGAACGCATTACGTCGCTTTCTGATGAAGCTGTAATAAATCTTATAAAAATCAGATCATTGAGAGTAAAAGCTTTAAGCGAAGAGAGATGATCTTGTCGACGTCCCCCAATCAGTCTCACTTTGAACATTTCTAAGAAAAGAGCCCTAAGAACGTCATTTGTTTTAGGTTACCATAAAACCGCGTCTTTGAAAGCTTAATAAGACACGGGGAACTTGTAACCAGCACACAGAACGATAGCACACTTCAGAAACCTACCTCCTGTTACCGTGATACTTCCAGTTGTGTGAATCCGTAGCGTTGCCTTCGGATCCTGCGATCGCCATACCAGACCAACGGACAATTCTGGTTCATATTGAGATTGAGCTGGATATTGTTGGGCAAGCTGAAATGAGAGTCCAACATACGAGTTTATTGTGAAGTGAAAGGAAAACTGGTTCAGAATTTGATGGATCAAAAGTCGAAACCTTATAGTAATCCCACTTACGACGGGATCAATGGAATCAGACATGAAAACATTCGAACAAATAAGGATAAACATAACAAATTTCACAGGTTCACCTAGCATGGAGCAACTATCCCACCGTACTAAGTAACCCCACGACAGGGCGATCGAAATAATACCTTCCGTACTACCACCGTAATTAATATCGGCGGGAAAATTGTGACCTCGGGCTGCTATAATTATTTATTCACGCCTGATCAATATACCAATGGGCATTTACAACCAGGACTGCATATTAACAGATGCCGATTGGCGCAATACACAGGCAATCAGTGTGGGGAGCGTGCGTCATGGATGTCAATGCTATTTACGAAATTGCTAGACTACGTTCTACAGCTGAAATTGACAATCAACGGCTCAGGCAGAATTAATGAACACATTAATGACGAGGAAAAAAAACCCACTTCTTCAATCTTGATTCCAAATGGCATCCTACACGTCGCCAAGACGTTGCAGACCTGAATAAAGGATCAGTCAAAGGATGAATGAAAGCAAGAAGAAAGAAAGAAGAAATCTGGTTGCCAAATACAAACAGCGCTTCCACTTCACCATTTTGAAGAGAGCTACTTTTTAAAAAACATTCTCCTACAGGTAAGCATAAACTAAGCGCATACATGAAGTACGAAAAATATGCCGAAATGCTAAGCAAATCAAAACTACTTCAACCCAATTGAAATGTACGAAGTCAAACCAATACCTCAAGAATTTTTTCTACCATACCTTATAGTTCCTTATTCTGACTACATCATTTTCTTTGTTCATGGTTTTCTGTACACGTCTAGCAATTGTCCGAGCAGCAGTCATGCAGTCTGCCTCACTGAAAACTCGCGTGGAACAACTGACAACTTATAGAAGAAGTTCGAAGAAAAATAAAACAAACCTCTTGCAACCGACGATGTAAACCTTTCCGGAGCTATAGATTTTTACATAGCAGTTCGGTTTACGCTTTTGTTTTAAGAGAACCTGGAACGACTTTTCAGTAGCCCTGCGAGCATCTCTTAAGACTCAATTTTCGAAAATAGATCAACAGAAATTGTAAAAGGGTAGCCGTCTAGCATTCACAACTAAGCTGAAGTCAAGAATATATCAGTTATGACTATGTTCGACAGCCAAATCAAGGATTACCGATTATTACAAAGAAACTGATTTTGTCAAAATACTCCACTGGCGAGATTCTTCAAGTAAGGGACTACGGAGTGTTTACAAAATTAGACTGGATTTTGGGAAATCCAGTTAAACTGAGTGGGCCCTACAGAAGCCCCGGGAAATGAAAAAAGGTCGTTTTCTTCACAAACCTAGTATTCAAAAACTTACACCACGTCCTCTGTCGAATGTCACATTATTACTATTCAGTGCCAATTTTCGCAGATCTATATGCAATGGCAAAGTATAATTGCAAACGACGTTGCGAATCTAAAACAGGGATACTGTTTGTGAATATATTAATGGACACACCCATAAAAGCAGGCCAAAAAAGGCACCTGGATATCAATCTCGCCATCATCAGCGATGTCCTCTTCTTCAGGGACCTCACTAGTCGATGGATCTTGAACTGCTGGTGCCGGAGGTTCCTCCACAACCTGAGAAGAAAATTTCGATAGAATTTTTTTGTTACTAGTATAAAGCAGCAGAAAAAACTTTCGAGAAAGAACGTAATGATCTATTATAAAAATAACTACCAATGAAATCTACCAGTAGCCGAAAGGAAATTTATCTAATAGAAATTCGCTGAACAATTATTTAAGAACAATTGAGAACGGCCAATACATATGAGAGCCAACAGAAAAAAAACCTTCAAGAACTATATTGTTTACTTACCGGTTCAGGTGAAGGTTCACGAATCGGAACAACCAGATTGAGGGAGGAACTATTGTCATAGGAGCCACCCTCCGATGTGTTGGAGATCTCCGCAGGCACATAAGATTGGGTTGTTGCCACAGATGCGTACGAAAAGTTTTGTACCGGCTGTTGCTGTAGTTGTGGTTGCTGTTGTTGTTGCGGCTGCTGCTGTTGCTCATTACCCGTATATACCACTGAAATAAGGCTTTGAGTACATGTACATCTCGATTTTCTTTTCAAATGAATTTCTTAAAGATACCCTGTTGACGATAGATGTATCCATCTCCTTGTAGCTCAGCTTTTTGATTGAAATGCTGTCGCTGATAAACAACTTGCTGTGGTTGTTGTTGTTGCTGCTGTAGTGGTGGCGGCTGTTGTGACTGCTGGTGGAGTTGCTGTGGTTGTTGCTGTTGTTGAACTATTATCTGGCGACTACGAGGAGCACCAGCCAACGTGTTCTGATTCAACTGGTGTGTATAAGCTAAAAATTGGGAATTTCAATGGAACTAACACTGTGGGGTTCATATGGGATGTGTCCAGAACTGACTTATTCCAGGAGCTTGATTAACATATACATGTGATTGTGCAGATCGCCACACCTGACCAACGATTGGTCTTGTCTGCACTACAGGTGAGCGTATGAAATTCGTGCCCTTGACCGACGTCTGAACAACTCTGAAAAAGAGGAAATGGAAACCCATGCACAACCGTAGGAAAGAGATACCACAACCACTCTAACAACCCTATTTTTTNTTTTTTATTATACTTGATCAATAAAAATTTCAAAAAATCTTAAGTTATGTTTCACTATCACAGCGCCGGCTCCTTTGAATTTGTTTTCGAAAGAGCAATAGAATTGGATTTTTTGCATATCTTATAAAAGATGAAAGGTGAGGGTGAGAAAAACATCGAGCCTATGTGGGCAAATCGCAAAACTTTTTTTTACAGTAATGTTAACTTATAGAATTATGAAATACATCGTGTACAGCTTGATCCGACTTCACAATTTTGTTTAAGATGTGAAATCTGGAAGATTGACTGAAAAACATTGTCCCAACTAAATATCAGGAACTTTCCAAAGGCTTTGAACAACATGAGAAGAGAGGCATTAGTTAATTTCCGTTTTAAATGAATGATTTTCTCAATATAGCGTGAAAGACAGGCAATGAAACTGCTTCTTCAGCCTGCACTTCCAACATTTCAGTATTTTAAAGCCAACATGGTGGGCATACACGGTAAACTCTAGTTCAACAATCATCGGTCAAATTATCGTACAATAGAAAAAAGTGATAACTTATGCGTAAAAAAGGACACCGAGTATGGCAGAAAGGCTAATAATGTGAACAAGGAACGAGTTTCAACAAAACTAATGAAATAAAATTGTAACACGTTTACCCGCTTTGAGTTTGCCCATAATCATTTACAACTTTCTCCCACTCATGAAATTCAAACAAGCCCATCTCGTTCTTAGACAAACGTTGTTGCATTTTTTCTACTGCGTGTTTCCTACCTCATGTATTTCAATTAACCCTGTATCACCTGCTTCCAGTCTCAGCTACTCAAGCCGTCTGTACCAGTTGTTATTTCAATCGATGTAATCTAGAAGATGGAGTAAGTAATTCGAAACCTCAAACACGGCCTCATTGTGCCGCAGAGAAAAGCAACCAAAAACTGACCGCTTTATATAGCAGCAAGAAACTTTAGTGTAAAAAACACCATTATCAGGGGTACTGCACTTTGCATATTCGCTGATTCGATGATTCATTTCCTGATTCGATGAGTTAATTTCAACTAACACTAGTCTTGAAACTCACCTATCAAACTTCGCATATGGAATTAACATTGAAAAAGCATTTTACAGATTGGCACAACATCTTACAGAAAGAGTCACACCAACTAATTACCTCGTGAAAAAAGGAATCTCCTTATCAATCAGTAGCAAACATTATCCACAAGACAGTGTTCAAGGGAAAAGTATGCGAAGACGTGGCAGAGTTCAGTAGGTACTGAACACACTGACGTCATACTAATCTACCTTGTTCGAATTCATTTCAATTTCGAATCCACATTTCAACTTCGACTTTCCAGCAATTCAAAGTTGAAGGGCTTGAGTGAGTTCCGACGGAACCTAATCGATAGACTACTACAACTTTTTTTAATCAGTTGGCATTTTCTTGAGAATCAGAGAAACAATCAATGCGCTACTATTCACGTCATCTGATTCACCCAAAACATATGAGAAGAAATTCAATCGGCCAGTAATGTTTGCATACCATTTGCATGCGAAAAACAAAAAACAGTTCGCCGTACTTTTACTTTGAATGAACATGGTAAGAGCTAAGTAAATATAACAGTAACAGAATCCAGAAAATCTGTTTTCAACTCTTTTGAATTCTTTTTAGATGAGCCATTTTTAGCTCGATAAAAATGAATGCGTTCATTAAAGGGAGTTTGATAGTACGTCAACATTGAATACGAAAGTCTAAAAAGCCGACTTTCAAGCTAATGAAGACAAAAAAAAAATAAATGAAATGATCGATTACCTTGGAGGTTGAACTGGACGTTGAACCACTGACGCATTGGCCGGTGTGGACGGGTGTGATGGTGAAATATAGTCATGGTCATAGGCAGAAACACTCATCTCCGAATATTAAGTAGATTCAAAACCCTTTGAGAAACAGAATAACTCGCTATTTGACATCAATCAACAAAACGATCAATACACACTGCAATCAAAAACCTAAGCATGATACCCCAACAGTGACTATGTGAAAGAGAAGATAATGCGGCACGTGAGCGCTTTGCCAGCACATGTATGAGTCATTGTAAAAGTTTCGTTCCGGTGATTATATATTCTACCACCTACGCCGCTAATAAAGTCATAGTTTAAACTATGTATGAACGACACAGTTTAAGTAAAAACGTGGAAACAGTGAAACAGAAAAAAGAAGGTCAGTCAATTTCGAGCGAACGAGGTAGAAAAAACCGAACAGGTACAAATTTCACGATCTTGGAGTGACAATTCAACACAAATTTGCCAAATAAACTGAACAATCATACTATTATGGCTATTTGCAGACAAAACAGAAGCCGTGCTGCAAAAGTTAAACGGAGATGAAACATCGCAAAACAACACTCAGCTTGGACGACCGCAAAGCAGGGCAGGATGGCCGCCAGCGCGGACCACACGCCGCGCAGACGTCCCACAACTCGCCGCCGCGACTCGCTCGCGCGGCGCCGCCTCGCCGCGCCCACGTCTTTGCCGCGGCTTTTTCGTCGGACGGCGTCTTCACGTGGACCGAGCGAAAAAAGGCCGAGCAGCACTGACAAGCGGTCGCCTACGTCCATTTGTACAAGCGTAACGCCTGGTTAAGTCCTGCACGTATACCGCACAGCCTCTTTGATCCCTTGAGCAAATGGGGAATCAAAAAGAACCCTCCCTCTTCAAGAAAAACCTTCGTTTATTGGTTTGTTATAAATATATGGCTGAGACTGTGAGAAGTTCTTAATCGTTCGTGCTTAACCGTTATTCTTTAACCGTCCTATCGCGAATCCAATCAGATTCAGGCTAAGCTTTTTAGCCGTGCTATTACCGATTCAGATTCCGGAATCCCTTTGCAAACATTTCAAGGAATGAGATTATGAAAAGAAAATTGCAGAACACATAAGTCCGACTTGAAGTTTTAAAAAATTCGCGAAACGACACTCAGACTAAGGGTCCTGGCTAGAATGTCTTTTGCCGCGCACCTCCCTTACTAGTCGCCTAGGGACTGCTTGATTGCCGCACTCAAGATTTGGAAGCCTCTGATCATATGGCCAACAGTGATGGGAAATTTATAGAACTAGTAATAAGCTGGATAGCTATACTACAACAATACTAGAGCAAACATTCCAATCTAAAAGCCCGCACCAAAGGACGACGCAGGGATGGACTCTGATCGGGACGAAGAAAAACGACAACATCACAGCTGGACATTCCCCATGAGCTGAAAGGGCATGTTTTCATGCGGCGTTTTTGGTTGTAAAACGGCTGAAAAATATCCCATTGCGATCAGATCTCTCGCAAATGTGTGGGCACATCGTAATGGGAGACGTTCAAATACCAATATTGCATTCTGCAAACATTCCAGCTGAATGAATGGCTTCATTTAGGCGACACAAGCATGCTATAGGTAATCTCAACAAGGTACTTTACTATGTAGGAAGCGTGTGGCACATCTCCGTCGCTAGTCGCTTAAATAAAGGTAATGGACTTCTTTTTGGCTCCTAACAATCCTTTCTTGGAATGCACCACACACTCGACTTCCACATAGCGACTCATGAGCGCTTAGATGCGTTCATCTTCCATGCAATAGCATGCGATTCAAATAGTGCACAAGCTAGTTCTTCCGAATTCCCAGGCAAGGATGACATTAGGTTGGAGTCTAGACAATGGAGACCGAAAATCTGGCCAACGTCGACTTTGCCTGAGTGGAACTTAATTCCCAGGTCGTGCTAACGGCACAACTTGCCATTCAATTTTCTCAAAACATCCTTTCCGTTAGAAGTTGGAAGAGCAGTTGTGGGAGCGGGAAGTCCCGAGTACAGGTGAACTATGTCGGTTAACAGGCGACGAGGACATCTACAGCGTCATGGAACGAAGTACGACAACGCAATACATGTTACTTATATCACAACATATTGCGCCGTATCCTCCGCGGGCGGACTGATGGTTACAACACGTCGTAATTGACTGTATGTGGCCAGGGCTGAACTTTGTCGTTTATATTTGCGTAAATGTTCTAGGTGTTCCTATCTGAGCTTTTCACCCAATGTGGATCAACTAGTTTACTTCACTTTTATCTAGCAAGATTAAAAATTGTTTGGAACACGCAGCATCGGTAAACAAACAGTTAATAGCGGATCCGCGGAACTGCAACCGTAAACAAACAGTCCGAAATATTAACGAAATAAAAGAAAATAGGAAAACTCCTCTGAGAATAAACCCAAGAGTCGATAGAAATTAACAAAAGAAAGCTGAAAAGTAAAGGAGTTGGAGGAGACCGATGAAGGTCAAATGAATCACTTTCAACTTTTTTTTTGACCTCTGCCATACAGAGCAAACCGAGTCACGAGCCACACTTTCCAAATTCCTAGAACCTTTTTTTTCTGCAGTTCTGGTTGGTTACTAAATGCAAAACCGTTCTGACATTTCAATATGGGGCCGATCCAGTCGAATTCTTTGACAACCTTACCTGGATAATAGCGTATACACAAATTTCGGTCTCGACATTACGATCCACTTGGACAAACGGTTGGGTCAGTATAGTTGGTTTGCTGCTCCTTTCAACCTGGTTGAGTGGTCCTTCCCCAGACCACTGGTTAATGCTCCTTTCCCAAACCACTGGTTAACAGGTCCTTCCACAGACCACTGCACTTGAACTTGTTTCTTTTTTTCAGACGATTGACTTAAGAAATAGGTTATCTTTCCTCAACCCTTCGCCTTATTCCTGGATGGCCCAGTGAAGGAAAAGCTGATTAAGATATATAAAAGCTTTGGAAAGTCAAGGGGATGGCGTAGCACTGTAATAAGTCGTACCACCAAAATGGACAACGTACAGTTTAAAATAAGTTATCCTGCGAGACANGGTTGCTGGTAGCGGTTCTTGGAGAAATCGGAGAGTTCCAGAGGTTTCACATTCTTCTGTGATAAAATGACATTTTAGTCCTTGAGACCATTACCTCGGCTAATAGTTGTTCTTGGCTCTTAGTATTTAGGGTTTCTAATTCATTCATGTTGTAGGCGATCATGGCTACTTTTACAATTCTTAATCACTGAACCCCTCTGTTTCTAGTTGTTGTACTGTATTCCAAGCCTCCGAAGAATATTAAAAGTTAACTGTCGAACAGGAAATACTGTCCACGGCACACCTGCATTTTTATCTGGTCTTCTGAAGTCCGTGAAGTGAAAACAAAAAACAATACATCTTTTAGAAACTGTAGTAATCGATGTTGATCTGATATTTCGTCAGCGATGATTATCAGAGCTACTTCTGTACCAGGACTAATGTGTATCAAAATTTAATTCAAAAACATAGACAGAACATGGGAAAAATCCCACATACCACATCCATTAATCAGACAACTACCAGGCAATATCATCACCAATGAAAAAGAACTTCAAGAAAAAAAGAACATACCTAACCCTCATAAATGTGCTTCAAAACTTCAGAATACTAACGATCTCCTTCAAGCAATTGGAGGACTCCTCTCAGATAAACTGTACAAGTGCAGATTAAAAAAATGGGGAATCGGGATATAGTTACCACAGATTAAAAAAAAAGTGGAGAACACTAGACATTGATCCAGTGTTTTATGACCAGAAAATACTAAATAAAAAAATCTGTGATTATGTAAAAAGAAAATAGTAAATGATGGAGACAGCAATTTCGACCACGGTGAAATGATCGGAATCCGGATAACCTGATATTTTCAGATGACCACCAGGAGAAAACGGAAACTTCACTTCAATAAAGTTAGGAGAGAATGAAATGTTGAAGATAAACCGTTATACAATACCAAAGACATTTTCTTCTAGGTTAAATTGCCGTCATCCCTCGGTCGTTGGCGGTGTATACCAGCCCGATTTAGCATGTATTTGTACCAGTGACTTGAACGACTGCTGAGCTCTTGCGAGACTATACTGCGCCTGAAATATGAGAAGATTAATCAATTCACTCGGGNAAAACAAACCTTAGCCTCAAACTGTATCCTAGCTTTCCCCTTGACAAGTGTCGCTGCAATCTGAAGGATAAGAGACTCGATCGAATACGCTGATGACCATCCCTGCTTTGTCAGCAACTCCATGCATATGGCTCCACCACCGAGAACATATCCATTTGACACCTGAAACTAGTCCATTCAGACTGCTGGAAGTTTACAAATATCTCGCGACTCAAGTACGCAGAACAAAGAACGAAAGCTTTAGCAGTGTGAGGATACTTCTTCATGAACCTGATATTATAAGTTGTAAGGATTTTAGCACCAACGCTGCTTGCAACCCTTTTTTCCGAGGTTTCTTCTCAGTAGGGTGACAAATGCTCACAAAAAAAGACCCCTCAGCTTAACAGAAATTTACCAGACGTGACTAAAAGCTTTTCGATCGAACCTTCTCATCGATATGTTGTAAAAATACACTTAACTCAATTCTACTTACCGTTGGTGACACTAGACGTACGAAAGGTGGATCGCACGGGAAATTCTCGTTAAAGAGAAAGTGGAAGAGTATGTGATCCTGCTTGTGCTCAGTGGCTAATGTCAGAAGGTCAGAGTAAAGAGCACTATCGGAATCCACCTAAACATATGAACTTGAACGAGGCAGATGTGAAGCAAACGCAACAAAAGCGTTATACCTTGTAAAGCTTCACCCACCACTCGTACAAGTTATCTCCATCACGTAACTCAATAGAATAAACACCTAAACAAATGAACTAACTCAACTTTCGAAATAAACAAATCCTATGTGATATATAGCACAGATGTGATCAATACGGATCACAAGTCAGTTGAAAAAAAAATCGATGTGTATTCACAAAATAGACGAAACAATGTCCATATAAAAGAATAAAAAGGCCTAGATTACGGTAGAGCATGCTGATATAAATGGTATCGAACTCAACTAGATTCAAATTTTGATGAATAGAAATAGAAAGCTGTCTCAAACACGACATTATGTGGGGTGAAAAAACATTCCAGTAGGATTTTGACTAAATGCAACGAGATATGGTGAGTTTTACTAAGAGGAGGATCGTGTGTATAAGCTTAACAAAATAACTGGAGGGATTCAGCTAAGGCTCAATATCGCTGCAGTTCTTACACAAAAATCTAGTCTAGTTGAGAACATTATATGCATTACAAAGGATGTCACGGCTAGAGTTAGACAACAGCTGTAACTAATGGCAGCTACTTTCGTGACGCGTGAAAATCTGCTCCGTGTTTTTGTATTCGCCTTTGCACCACTTCCCATTTATTGTTGCTCACCACTGATGATTACAGTTAAAAAAACCAAGTAGCTGGAAGCACATTCTGCTGAGCATCAAAAGTTTGTCACATCCAGGTTTTAATTACCAGAGCAACATTTACTTATTAATTGCTGAGCAATTTTGAGCAACTGTATGTATATGCCTATTTTGAGCAGAGTTTTCAATATGAAGAATATGAAGGACAGGTACCGTCAGAGCTAATCGTTCGTGTAACAAAGGCAAGAGTGCCTAATCGACGCGTTCTTGGAAAATTTTTAAGTTGAAAAAAGCCATCAAAAATGAAAGAAAATCTAATTGAAATTTCATGAAGGTCAAACCGTTCTTGAAGTGTTCACTCTTGTAGATATCTCTCATTTCTTTCATAAGGCGATCAGTAGCCGTTACGGATCCTTGAATCTGAAAAATGAAATCATTGTCGACAGCTGGTGTTATACAATAACATAAGGATCAGAACATTAGTATGAATCCAGCGCTACAAAATGAAGCTCTCTCATTCTTGAGTCCTTTAAACTTATGATTCCAACAATAAAGAGCAGCTTTCAAATTAGACATTTAGCTCGCTCACATTTCCATTCAGATGCTGTTGACGAGTAGACCTTGTGATTTTTTCGAGCATCTCCTTTCCTTCTGGAGACACATCGTCGTCTGTGCTTGCGTGAGGTTCCTCCTCGGTCATGTCAACTTCGGCGATCTACGAATGAAAAACACAGCTATCATAGGCCAATGCGAATTCTGTACCCCATTTATAATGATACCTCAACCATTTCCTCGCCCTCTTCGTCCTCCGACTCCATATCACTGCCTTGCCCTTCATCTTTTAGATCATCATCATCAGGCGGAGCCAGGCGAGTTAATTCTGATGGTATTGTGACGTTATATTGACGACAAAGTTCTGAGACCAACTTGTGGATCTGAAATAGCAGAGGCATTAAATATAGGCAAGCAATAATGACCTCTACAAAAAATGTATCTCCACACGCAGGCACGGCTGCTTACAAAAACAGAAATTCAAGTTTCTAGAAAGGATTTCTCAGAAGCCATCCACTGTTACGAATCGATTCCAGCTACAGACAATGAGATTTACGATTTACGCCTCAGCGCCCTTATGGCTATGACTATGCAATAGTCTACTTGAATATCTGATTTACCTGAGCAAGTAGGCAATTCTGTTGATCGGCCCCTGAAGAAAGTCGTTCTAGTGCGGAACAAATCACAGCATCGTCTGACTCGCTGAACCACAAAGGAGCCTGACGTGGATAATCCTCCTAAATCAATCGAATAATTTTCATGGATCTAACTAGTCCACATCTTACATTCAATACAATACAAACATTCATGACTCTTAGAAGACACAGGTAGTAATCACCTCTGACCATTTTGTCATGATTCTGATGAAACCTAATTATATGATAAAGTGGGGAAGCAAGAAAAGAATCACTCATGCAAACAGGCTCTTGACTTATCCTATTCGGGACGGAGTAATCGTAGCAGGACTTGAAAAGCTGTGGTTAGATTTATTCTGAACAAGTAGGAACAGAATCATGCTCCGATTCATAAATACAAATCATGGCCTATACACAAGCTACCCACCAATATTATATGTAGAAAGTTGGGTTCTCAGAACCATCATTTTTCAACACACTCCTTTCACTTGTTCCATTTCTACTGCATAGTTTCATCCTAATCAAGCTTCACCCGGCAAACCCAATTTCATAATCTAATTTCTTGGCTCAATTTAATAGTTTTCCATTCAATTACATGTTGGGAGAAGGGTGAGATCTGAATTTCAGCAAAAGGCGAGCATCACCAGGCCAAAATGGATACCTTCGCATAATCATGTGGAAGGATAAGCAAAGTAAAAGACATTAACGAATGTTTATTGACACTAGTTCTTGTGCTGTAAACAACCACCGCTTTGATAATTGACTTCACCTTACTGAATCGTAACCACGAAAAGTTCTGAACTGCTGCATGACACTGTGTTTTCGTTGCTTGAGGTTTGAAGTCTGCCTCTTCATCCAAATTACTATAGGATGAGTTTCTTGTAACAGAATACTGAGACCGAGTTCAATTTAAAATTTAGATGCTAGGGAAAGGTTGGAACTGGATGTCAAAGTAGGTAGCAAAAACACGTGGTGAGCCCGAAGCGCGACAAGTTAAGCCTAATTTAGAACTGGGCAAACATAATATACTCTAAAAAACTAATCCAGCTGAGCTGCCTCGGTGCTAGCACTACAACTCGCTGCAGATAGTCCCTCAACAGAATTAAAGTCGAATATTTTGCGGTAAACAATGTCGAAGGAATTCTTGAATGCAATGCCTGAATAGCGCCCAAGTCCTGCTCTATATTGTTCAGAATTTTGAACACTACGTACCCTCTCATTCAAGGTGAGAAGGACCACTTCGTAGATTATGCTCTGGAACACCTGTCATTGACAGGTTGCCTAAGATCGACAAAAAAAATCCCTCGAAAAAAAAAAACTCAAAACACCTTGAATAGTTCTACTCACCAAGATGTTGGCATTGATGATTACCGACCGCCCAGTTCCGTCTATGAATCTCAGAGTGATTTCATCAACAGATGCAACTAGCACCTAAAGAAAAGTAACATCGATCCCTCTGCTTTTTCTATTCACAAATGGCCTTATGATATATCTAAATTGTACGTTACAGCCTTGTTACTTACCTGCAACCGTTCATGATTTTTCGGAAAAAGAGATTCCAAAACCGAGATGTCGTCTTTTAGTTTCCTAAGACACGCCATATCGGCGCGTTAAGCAAACAATACCCTAAACAGGAACTTAAAGTTCACAAAGTTTATGTTTCAGCAATAAAACAGAGAATACGCGAATACAAAATGCAGGCAGAAGTTCTTGATAGATTTCAAACGACTGTGCACTATGAATCGATCGATACGCACACAATGCACGCCCCACTCGAAACATTGATTGAGCAAAGATGACGGAAAAGTCAAATATATCAATATGGAAAACGTAGATGCACGAAAGCAACTGAACAAAGAGAAACTTGGTGGTGCATTTTGCTGCATTTCAGTCGTTCTCATGATCAAATNATGTATTTCAGAGTATTCTCAAAACACCTTTGCATTCGAATTACCCAAGTGGAATCAGGAATGAGAAAAGGATGGCTCACTAGTGGAAAATTGTTCCCGTAACACCACTGTGATCAAGATAAGGAAAAAACTTGGGCAATCACCATTCTTTTGATGTCCACAGAACGTAAACACAACGAATGAAAGACAAATGAGAACGAGTCGAAGTCAGGTGGGTTCCAATCGGAAAACAATGTCTTATTACAAGACAAAGGAACGTCTTATGATGATCGTATATATTGATCACTTATTAACGAGCTGTGGTTGCTGCTGGTCAAAACAACCTCGCTGGTTTTGATGGACGTTTCGGCATAGAGCGTCCGTTGTTGCTTTGAGACAACAAAATGGGTGAGATGATTTAGAAGACCCAGCAGGCCAGTTCTTCACCATAAAAACGCTACATCGCTGAATTCACGTCGAGAAAAACACCACGACGCTCGATCAATGCGTGTCGTCGTGCTACACAGCTGATTTCACTTGAAACGAGCAAGCGACGGTCCTGCGACGAAACCGTGATGTCGGTCCCCCTCACCAGAAGCGGTTTGTCGCCAGCCGGTGGGCCTCGGGCTTCGTAGTACGCAGTGACCGCACCTTGCTCTGTGGGACAGTGTACCCACTTCACACTACGTTGCCCTGGGTGGGTGAAGGCTTCCCGGTACGCGATAAGAGCACAACAGCACTTTGGCACGCAAGTTCAATCTGGGTTCGTTTCTACCTCGCCCCAAGAGGTAACTGTTGGGTGCCAGCTTATGTCAAATGCCTTGAGATGTAGGCATTGGGCGAGTGAACGCTGCGACAGCAATTAACCAATGCTGGCACCCCATGGGAGGACCGGAATCTTCTGACAGGGTCAAATACGTGTCTATCAGGGGACGAACGTAGGGTAACCTGTATAATGCAAGCTTCTGTACTCTAAGAGACACCATAAGGAAGAGAGGAAGAAAAGAAAGAAAGAATCGATGGGATCGCTGATACCCTCGATCAATACGCATTCGCGGCTCTTTTGATTCCCACAATCGATACGTAACTGCTGAAGTCGTAGAGGAGATAAGAGGAGTGCTTGGCAACTGTACCTTTATTAGTCAGGGCTGCCTTTTCCAAACAGTTGAAGCCACCTCTCATCAGTCCTAACAATAAGTAGACATTCACAGCTGAACACAAAGAGCACATTGCAGTTACCTAAGCTGGCAGATTCGGGGATTGGGAAGTTTGAATAAGGCTCCCAAAACATTCCTTCCACTCTTTACCCTCACGATCCGGAAATCTCCAACTCAATTCATCATCTATCAGAATCCAAAAGTTACGATCCTTTTAGAGGATTTCCCATTGGCAGACTGCGTACGTCACATGATCTCAGGAAGTAATACGATGTTAAGTACCGAAAACTATTACTTCTTAATGGGATGTCACAAAAGGGCAGGAACAAGGAAGCTTTCCATTCTGAGAGTGCACTCTAACAAAATGAAGAACAAGCGACCTCTATGAATTGAGAAAAGGCGTTCGAGCGCATGTTCCGTAGTAGTGCGTGACTATCTGCAACACATCTATTTGAACGTTGTATTTCTTCACGCTTAAATGGGGAACTTGTAGTGTGAAGATTGAGGTATCGTTGGCGCTAGACGGGGCGTGGTCCATAAGGAGGGGCGGTATTTATGAGGCACGGCAGACCTGTTCAGTTTTATTTAGCAACAGCTATCCTTTCGAATCGGTCTTTGTGAAGAGATACACTCCTAATAACCCCCATCTGGAACGAGTACGAGTCTCTGCTAGCGAGCTCGGTCACTACACTAATCAAGTTGTGGGATTCTGATTCATCGAAAGGAAGTCACACATTCGCCCATCATCCTCCTTGCGCAAGGGTCCCCACTCAATGAGTCTGTATGTGGGGAATTGAGGATTTGTACAAATTCGGTAATGCCGTGAAAGGAAGCATGTTGTCCGTGAATTTTTTATCCATAGCATTTTAGTTAACGGTGAGGTCATTGTAAGATTATGGGGACGCACTGCGTACGTCCGAGGACGCGCGCGGCGAAGTTTGTGACGATTTGTGCGACTCTGACGCCAATTTTCTGGGCACAAACTCCAAGTAGTGTAGTTTAGTAGGTTCAGATGGTCCTTCTAATCTACTCCACTTCAAATTTGAGCCTCAAGGATAGGCGCTAAAGTCGTTCAAATCGATACGAACTTCGCCGCGCAATTTGTCGTACCCATACAGAATTTTTTCGTTCCTGTGTATTCGTATCCATTTGCTGCATTCAGGAGGCCGTATGCATGAAGAAATGTTCTAGTGCCCGAACAAACTGGATGAAGTCGAAATCTGTGAAAGGCAAGAAATGTGAACTTCAATGAAAATGCGTGTGGAAGGATTTATTTAGGGAAATATAAAAATTGCGATGAATTCATGATGTATTCAGGTCTTCCTTGAGTTGTTGTGATGTTTACTTCGAAGTCGCTGTATAGTTTGCGAATCTATCGATAGTCTTCAGCCTGTACTTCCGCTCCCTAAAAGGATTATAAGTTACAAAAGGTAACGATGTTTGTAATCAATGGTATAGAACTAAACCAAAATGTTACAATTCGGCTTATTGCATAGATATAGGATCTATTCAAAAATGTGCCAATTGTAGCCAATCTTGCCTTTTAACTCGACAACATTTAAGAACAGTAATTCGTAAACCAGTGTGCACACAGCTCGTTAAACGAAACACTATGAGCAGCTCCTGGTTCGTCCATACAGTTCGTTGTCGATCCGTACCTTTCTGCGACCTTCGCAGTTTGCCCGGAGGCATTTATCTAGAGAAGAGCGAAGTAGCAAAGGAGATCTCAACCTATTCCACCCAAAGGTGAGATAAGTTGAGCTCCCTTACCACTTCATGTGCATCTTCCCCGGGTTCGGCTAATACCGAACATCGTAGGCTTAGAAAGGGAAAAAATAAGGTACGGGTGTCGGCGTGGATCACATTTTAAGGGATAAAATGAAAAAGGAAACAATTTACCTGATTTTGTTTCATGCAGAAATGGCGACTCAGGTTTTTCGTTGAGAACTTTGCCCGACTGCGTCTTCAACTCATCTCTTTACGGTTATTCGTACCTAATGAACCATAGGATAAAGAACTTCCGAGCAAATAAGCTATTACAAGCGAAATCTTACCTGACAATTGAAAAACATGTCGACCATGTAAGCATTGGCTCTGAATAATGACCTGCCTCACCAACGACAACGGACGTTCGCGCGGTTTTTTCGTTCCACTTGAATCCCACGCAGCGGCGTTCCTGTTCGGGCGCCAAATGGGCGTAACTACACCCTTTAAATGATCGTTAACGACCACGGTGGTGATGCAAAAGTTGTCTCCGATTATCTCCCACGACAAATAATTTAAAACAGACTTGCTGTGATGTCGCACATTTGTTTCATTTCGTGGCCTTTTTAGAATTCCTTTACATCAAAAAGCGATCATAGCGCTCCGGCAGGATCAACTTATTGTTGTTGATTTCTCTTGAACTCAAAATCGTAGCAGGTTCTGAATTCGCAGTTGGCCTATGGAAGAACTTGCAGAGCCAACCGATTTCCAAGATTTTAACCTTTATCCTCAGGCAGGCTTGTTAACAACTGAACGACTGTGGGAGGGCGACACATTTCCTTGGACGGAATTGGCTACCTCTACCTATTCACTAAATTCGAAAGTCTGAAATGATAACTGTGGAGCAAACTCCGCCCTCGAGTCAGTACTCCTAAGCAAAGGAAAGTTCTGGAGAATGACGACCCAGGAATGGAAGAGAGAAGCTCAAGTACCCAACTAATCGAGCTTCTTATTCTCGGACAAGTTTTGAGGTTTCTCTTGATCTCAAAACATGATAAGCTCAATGGTTATTGAGGGTGAGGCGATGAACGGTAATGGATGCATCCTGGGGAATGGGCAGAGTACTGAAGTTTTATTCTGAAAAATGGAAGAAGTCTGGGAACGTTCTTATTTTGGTTGAAGTAGCCGTGCTCAACTGCACGGGACTAAAAGATTTCTTGTAGTGAACTTCAGTGTTCACTCTGTGGAGCCCTTTTGAGAGATGCTCCGAAACCGTTCCTTTTAACTATTCTGTGCGCTGACAGAGAAAGAAAAACGAAAATTATTATTTAGCGATCACCCTTTAAGGAATGATTTTACAGAATCATACACAAACTTAATATTCAGGAAAGCGAGCAGGGCTTGTCACTACCACATATGCACAGAAACGGGTATAGCATCACAATGACCAATGCAATATCACTTCGAAAGCAGAAAAGTGCTTAATATATCATAAATACAATTGTTGCGGAAAAGAAACAATTCAAATTCTGCAATTTAATAAGGGAGAAGAAGCAACTTCCCATATTTCAATGGAGATTAGAAGTATCACTCGTAAATGCCAGATGCCTTGATGACTCCACTCGCAAAAATTATGTTTTGCTCATCTCCAGAAGAGCACTGACCGTCGCATCCTTGTCACCTGTGACCAATAATATTAAGAAAAGACAAAATCAGTTGTAGAAAAACCATATAAAAGCAGAAACCTCTGCTCTCTTCGAGGACACATCTGATCACTTCTTTATCCACACCAGGGAACATTGCTTCCAATTCTTTGGTGTCTTCTTCGGTTATCTCAACTGAAACATATAGGGTTTACTGAAGGGGACAAGACGATTTTAGGACGGGATATACGGTTACAACTTAAGGGTCAGGAGGGTAGCAGCAATACCAAGGTTTTCGTAATCTATGTTCTAAACTTATGTGAAGGCATTGAATATGCAGCTTGAACAAGTCACAGACTCTATACTAGTTCAATCAGAACTACTTGAAGGCAATTTGATCAGCATAAAGCGCAAGCTTTGGGTAGTGGCTTTGGAATTTGAGCAGTTGTCATCAACATAGATTCAGGCAGCGGAAGGCTCGAAATCTAGTAATCGATCCGAACGTCTTCGTGCCTGACGTCAATTAATTTTCGTACCCGATCCTAGGCAAACAAGGCCGAGTACACAATCGTTCTCCTCATACTCCTTATCTGGGGCTAACGCATACCTGGCATTGGTGGAGATGCTGTCGCAGGTAACACGACGGCTGTAGGAAGGGTACCTTCTACCGGAGCGAAAGATATGACCAGATGGAGCATACCCTCTTTTCCTTCGCCCTGAATTCGAATTCTTTCGAAATTAGGTTCATCAAAGCAACAGAATGGGCTGTAATTTGTGCTCATTGTAGGAAAGAAAAACATCAAGAAACCTGCTGTCCGCTCAATGGATAGTAGTCATCGATTGTTTCTCCACTGAAGATGGCCGGTGGAAGCATGACATGAGCCCAAGCGACACACTCATCAGCACTAAAGGCTTTCTGAAATGCGAAGAAGTTTGGATTTCTTTCTTTGGGTTTCATAAAGAGCTCAAATGACTAACGATGTGACTCCAAAAAAATGTACCTCATCAAAAATTTGAATGTAGATGCTCTCAACGCCATTTGGCAGATACGCATGCACAGTTCGATTCCATACGGGACTCCGGCCTCCACTGAGTTTTGTCTGAGTCTCGAAAACCGCATGACCTACTCGAAGCCTGAAAGGTTCTCAGTATTTGCGGCAAACTAGATAGGCGAAAAAATGACGGTCAACCTGCAGTAGGGGTCCATTCTCACAATACCGTAGTTTCTAACCAAATTGGCATCGGCAATAGTGATTGAAAGCCGGCCACGAGTGTTAGGTGGTACGAAACTACCGCCTGTGTAGACAAGCTGGAACACTACAGTTTAACGAGTGTGCTGTTGCTATTACATCAACTAGCTTGTACCTGTGATAAAATTACCTATTTGTTTGACCGTTATCAAATCTTACCTGCTGGGTTTGTTGCTGCTGTTGAGATGCAGCCACTTGATCACGAGGAACTATCAATCGCAGAAAGTCAACTGGAAGTTCTCCAACCAAAACCTAAAATATTGACATTTTGGTAAAGTCATGGACGCCATGATGAACGATCAAATCCTGGATCGATATCCGCCCAGCTAGACCAGACTTTCCATCCCTTCGAATCGCCTGATACGAGACTCGTCTAGAACGAGAAAAACCTTGGCTTTCATATCGTTAGCCACCGCCCCCTAATTGCATAGACGAACTACGCTTTCAAACACTACTTAGAGTCCGAGTACATCCCAAGAACGAGATGATATTCTAGCCCTGTCGTGTTCATAATTCAGAAGGGAGGGTTCCCACCACTGTTGAGTATTCACACTAATGTCAGGTCTGAAAATGTGTGTTGGCTACTCCCTGTGTAATTTCACGCCTTCGCTCTGACCTATCTCTTCACCACTTTCCTTAATCTGCCTTTAAGTTATCGATCTTCGAATTGAAATCCATCATGTTCACTCATATTTTATGTATTTGTTCCCCCTCCCCCCCACCCCCGTTCTTCCTATTTACGTCCTCTCTCTTTGCTTCTATTATCTTGAACCGGTTTCCTTCAGAGACCACCCATTACAACTGAAAATTGTCTCCTTGGACATCTGTGTTGTATCCTTTCGACCTAGACACCTCACCTGCCTTCTTCTCTCCGCAACGGACGTAGTGGACGACATTACCTGAATTAAATGCAAGTAATACGGCAAAAAAAAAACTTCGAAATTTTCGTTGTGAGAATGATCCCGTAGTGGAAAAGAGTAATAACGTCGACATGACAAATCTA